TAAAAAGTAAAAAATAAAATAATACAAAATTTGAAAAAAGTAAAAAGATAAGAAATAATATTTAAAACAATAAAAAAATAAAAAGGTGAAATTTATCAAATAAAAAATATAAAAAATAAAAAGATAAGAGAAATAAACATTTACATTTTTTTTTTAAAAAGTGATTAAAAATTGTAAAAAAATAATGAAAAAATTAAAACCAACCCTGCCTCCCCACCATCTGGTTGCTATTCTCCATTGGGGGGGGGATGGCGGGGAGGGGGTCACATTGAGGAACCTGGCCTTGGGGCAGCAGAGAGAGAGTAAATCTGGCCCTGCCCGTACCACCTGAGACCAGAACATTTGAGATTGTTACAAAGAGAATTATCTTTTGTACCTAATGTGAATTTTGATTTGTTTGAATACGTTAAAGATCCAAACCTTTTAGCTAGAAAGTTAGCATTAGGAAATAAATACATACATAAAGATACATCAATTCTATCAAATAACAAGCAAGGCTCCCCTAAATACGAAATCCCATAAGATGGAGCTGTCTATAATAGAAAAACAGGCAGTACAATGTATCAAAAATTTAATGAAAATAAAGAAATAGAAAACAACATAAAACAAAATCTTTCAATCAAATAACAAGCAAGGCTCCCCTAAATACGAAATCCCATAAGATGGAGCTGTCTATAATAGACAGCTCCATAAGATCCCATAAGATGGAAATCCCATAAGATGGAGCTGTCTATAATAGACAGCTCCATCTTATGGGATTTCGTATTTAGGGGAGCCTTGCTTGTTATTTGATTGAAACCCAGGAGACCTGTCTTTACCACTCGCTACTATATACGTGACTCCCTTTCCTCTTATTTTGCTGATACATCAATTCTACTATTACCACAGGATGGCATTTACAAACTTACATCTTAAAAAGGATTTTACATCTCCCTTCATGCTAGAGGGGAATATCCAATTATTTATGAAAATGGTTAAAAAAAAGGGGGAGTGGCGAGCAGCCGACCAAGATGGCCTCTGCAATACCGATCCCCGGGAAAGCACCTTTAGCCCACAATAGCAAGCCTCACCTATAGGTTGCGGGGAGAAAAGAAAGTGACAGCCAGCCGCGCGCTGCAGGACGAGAGCGCTGTGAGCGGCCGGCGTCTCTCCAGCGACAGCGCTGTCACAGGAGGCTGGGCTTTCCTCTCTACACCGCTCGATCAGCCTCCTGTGACAGCGTGTCAGAAAGAAAAGCAAGGTACACACACTCAGCGATCAGTGATCGCTGAGTGTGTGTACAAATAATTGAGGATATGGTATGTTAACTATATCCTCAATTATGAATGAATGGGAGTGATCTACAATTCATTCATAATTGTAGTTACAGTAAACAAACCATGTTCTCATGTTATCAATGAACAGGAATTCTTGTTAATTGATAACAGGGGACACAGAAAAAGAGATCGATGACTCTGTGTTTTAAAAGGGAAATATCAGGGATCTGTTTAGACCCCTAATATTTCCCCGAAGCCCCTAAAAGTAAAGTAAAAAATAAAAATATTTAATAAAAAATGAATTGATAAATAAAAATAAATAAAAAAAAATTAAAAAGTTTATAAAAAATAAAATATTTTTTGAAAAATTGAAAAAATAGAAAACATTTTCGGTACCGGTTTCGGCCTGACATTTTTTTTCATTTCAGTTTCGTTTTTAACATTTCCATTTCGGTGCACCTCTAGACACGAGCCCCCTCCCTATTCGATCCAGCCTGAGAGCCCTACCCCAGGCGCGGAGTTTCTCTCTTAGATGACTTCCTCGAATGTCAGCCGGTGAGCTGGCAACGTTGGACTGGTTAGGGCGCTGCCGTTACACAGCACATGGTCTTGTTTTTGACCCGAGTTGATACGCTGTTAATGAGTTGAATCGTTTAATAACATGCAGGTCATTTTGGACTCCCATAGGACTCCAACTGCTAATATGTTGGCACCACTGTGCCTCCTGCACAGTCGATTACTGCGCGAACACGTAACTGACATGGGCAACCTGCATTTCATTTACGACCTGTAGCCTATTTCTTCTCTTGAATGCCAAATTCATACCCGTGCTTTCAGAATTCGTAATTCTATTTAGGTGTAATATATGTTTGCTTTTCCTGGGGTTCGGTGGGAACGCGCCTCCCACGATGACATGCAGGGGAAGGGGTTATTCCCCTCCTCCGGCCTGTCCCACCGACCTCCATGGACGGTTAAAATTAATGTTTATTTGTTGTATTTGTGTTTGTCTTAACTTGTATTCTCTCTTTCATTGAAGATGCTTCCCCCCTCCCTCTTTGTCCACTTTATGGGTCCCCTATGGTGCTGAAGCTTCCGGTCCACACTATATGCTCCACCAACTCCTGTCCCCTACTCTACTGTGGTGTGTGGCTGCTACAGGTGACGCCGGTTCTTCTCCACCATGAGTCATTGTTGTCCACTGTGGAGAACATGTCCCTTATTGACCTATACGCTAGGCAATATTTTGAGCTGAACGAGGGGTTCATGCAGTCTCCTATGGTTCTGTGGGAGGCCCAAAGGTTACAAAGCGGCCTATTGAACTAGCCACACGCCACAAAAAAGAGAGAAAGAGGAAAGTAGCCACTCTACAGGATGAGTTGGAGGCTCTGGACAGGGCACTGAAGGATAAATTCGACCGTGGGCTCCTGACTTGCCTGAAATCAGTTGGGATGGAACTGAACCTGCTGCTGGATCAGGATGCAGATAGGGCCCTACGGTGGACCAAACATAGATTTTATTCAAGGGCAAACAAACCTGGCACATTGCTAGCCATAAAGCTGAAAACGTTGCCTGGTTGACCGGCCACTATTAGACTGACGCTCTCAGCAAACTCTGAGAAGATTTTAGCCTCCTTCCAAGAGAACCTTACCTCTCTTTGTTAAACCTTGCACTTTTGACGTGGAAAAAGCGGACATCTTTCGAGATGTCGCACTCCCGCAGATCACACGGGAGGCCTTGGACCACCTAAATTCAGATGTGACCACTGAAGAAATACTTCTATCAAACATCTCAAACCATCTAAAGCCCCCGGACCTGACAGCTTCTCGGCGATCTACTATAAAAAATTGGCTCCCCTTCTGGCACCTAAATTGGCCATGATGTATAATTCCCTTAGACAGGGCCGAACACTACACCCCTCCTCCCTCTTAGCCTTTGTATCGATGATTCCAAAACCTGACAAAGACACATAGAACCCCAGTAACTATAGGCCCATATCATTATTAAACGTTGACATTAAAATTCTAACTAAAATTTTAGCCACGCACCTTAACCTTATTCTACCCAGTATCGTCCATAGAGATCAGGTGGGCTTTATCCCGGGTGCACAGGCGGGGGATAATATCCGCAAAATATGTAAAATTAGGTACCTCGGCTTATATTCGGGTCAGCTTATACTCGAGTATATACGGTAATCCATATCCTCAAATCCCGGGTTTTCTCTCGTCACTAGATTTACAGAGGGCATTCTCACGGGAGTATCTCTATTATATCCTTCATAAATGGGGCTTTGGAGAATCTTTCCTAGTGTGGTTACAGATCCTATACTCTAATACGATGGCCCAGGTAAAGTACCTGGGTCACCTCTCCCAGGAGATACCAATTTGCAGGGGAACACGGCAAGGCTGCCCTCTGTCCCAAGCCCTCTTTGCGCTGGCAATTGAACCCCTGGCCATTCTCCTTCGCTCTA